AAAAATCGTGCACCTATGGATGAGGACAGTGTAAGGGGGGGTGGTGAGGATGAAGGGGGGTGAGAACCGGGTGGAGGGGAGTTATGGGGAGGGGGGAAGAGGAACAACTGTAATAATCTGAACAATAAAGATTTAATTTAAGAAAAAACATTCTTTTTTACATTGATAGCAACTTAACTTTGATGACATACAAAAACTCTGTTCTTGTCCCTCTTTTGTGTTTCATGCCACATTTTCCTCTTTTCATAATGTGATTCATTAACAGATTATTATAGATATAGTTATTTAAAATACTTATTATTAAACTTTTAGGTCAGAGTTAAGTGCTTAACATACCACCATATTACAATATTAGAGTTCTGAACTTGACCATATATATTTACCTTTACCAGTGTGTATATAGTTTTATGTTTTCATGTTACTAATTAGCATCCTTTCATTTCAGCTTGAAGAACTTCTTTCAGTATCTCTTCTAAGGTAGGTCTAGAGGTGATGAACTCTTTCATCTTTTATTGGCAAAGTCTCTTTCTATTTCTGAAGAACAACTTTGGTGGATAGTATATTATTGGTTGCAAATTTTTTTTTCTTTCAGTACTTTGAATATATCATCCTACTCTCTCCTGGCCTATAAGGTTTCTGGTAAAAAAATTGTACTGTTATCCTAGTGGGGGGATCTCTGTGAGTCACAAGCTTCTTCTCCCCCCCCCCCCACTGTAAACTCCTTTCTTTGTCTTTGATTTTTGACCAGTTTTATTTTTTGTGTCTTAGAGAGCATTTCTTTATATTGAGTTTGTTTGGTAACCTATGAGCTTCATGAAAATTTGTATATCAAAATCTTCCCTGTATTTGGGAAGTTATCAGGCATTATTTCTTTAAATAATCTTTCTACCACTTCCCTCTCTTCTTATTCTGAGATTCTCATAATATGAATATAGTTTTGTTTGGTGATGTCCTGTAATTCAGAGGTTTTCTTCATTCTTTTTCTCCTCTGACTCAATAATTTACACTTCCTGTCTTCTAACTTACAGGTTCTTTCTTCTGCTTCATCCATTTTCCTGTTGCATTTTACCATTGAAATTTTTCATTTCATTCATTGTATTGTTCAGCTCCAGACTTTGTTTGGTTCTTTTTTTTATATCTTTATTAAACTTCTTATTTTATTCATGTATTATTTTCCTGATATTGTTGAATTGTCTTTTTGTGTTTTCTTATAGCTCTTTGAATTTCTTTAAAACAGCTATTTTGAATTTGTTGTGGGCAAAGGGGGCAAATCACGAATCTGCTCTTAGGGATCAGTAACTCAAAGATTAGTGATCTTTTTGTGCTATTATGTTCCCTTGATTTTTCATGTTCTCAATTTTTTTTTTTTTTTGGTGTTAATCTTCACTTGAGGAATTTTTTTTCCATTGATTTTTAGAAAGAGTGGAAGGGAGGGAGGAAAGGAGAGAGATGGGGAGACAGAGAGAAACATTGATGTGAGAAAGACACATTGATTGGTTGCCTCTCATATGCACCCTGACTGGGCCAGGAATCGAACCTGCAACCCAAGTATGTACCCTAACTAGGAATCGAACCCAAGGCCTTCCGGTGCAAGGGAAGATGCTCTACCCCACTGAGACACACTGGTCGGGCCAGGCAACTTTTTGATAAATAAATTACAATGCCAGAGGATCAGGATTCAAGAATTAAAAGCAAAATCAGGAGATGAGTATGAATGCAGTGAATTTGAAAGTTATTGTGCCTGCACAGGTCATATACGCTGAAGGACACTTTGGACATTAACCTTGACTCATATGCAAGACAGTGGTGATTCACTAACACCTTAATTACATTAACTCTATCCACATTCTTAGCTGTGAGGATTGCTACATTTAATCACATCTGCACATATTTTGGACACTAGGTTTTTGTTATTTTCATTTATCTTTAGTTATTGTTGAAAGTATTACAGAAGTCCCCCTTTTCTCCCATTGTCTCCCTACACCCTACCCCCCTACCCCCCGCCTAGTTTTTAATGCCCACATTGATTTAAAGGTGAGGGTTCCTTCATGATAGATGTTGCAATCCTTCCATCTATACTTCACTGAAAATACCTCTTTATCTAGGATACATAACCCCTTCCCAGGAGGGCTGGACAGTGT